TGGTAAGGATGAGGTAGAGGAAAAACCTATGATAAAGGATGCGACCTTGCCTGCTCCAACCTAGTTTCCCACTGGTGACCCTGAAGCTGCGAAGGACACTTCTGCTTCGAAAGTGCCACCAACAAATCCTTCTTCAACTTCAGCACTAGATTAAGCTCGATAGTGTAGGTCTTTCTGAATATTGTTTTTTCTTTTTTCCTTGTAATGTTAGACAAATCAATCAATGAAGGAAAATTGTTCGATCACATTCTTCGATGTTTTATTTATTGCTTTTATAGTTCTTTCTGCGAAGTCATAGTAGTCTGTCTTACCGAACTAATTGATAAAATCGAATTTTGCTCTTAAGTTATGCGTTGTTTGCTTTCTTAAGAACTTTTCGACCACTCCTTGAGAGTCTTTTCTCGATAATGATGTCGAGCTAGGGTTAGTTGCCCGTCTTGAGTCTTAGTCAATGAGTTATTTTGACTTTCTCATTGACGTGCTTTTCTTAGTTGTTTTCTGAGTTTCTCTTCGTCAAGTCGGGGAATATACCTTTGAGCTCGAATTATGGCTTGGCTAGGTAACTAGGCCGCCTTTTCGAGCTTCAGACTTCGAGTTTCTTTAGTAATGATCATTCTGATTATGATCTTAATGAACATGTCAAATACAAAAAGATACACTAAATAGTACTTGTTATTTATTGAGCATTTATCGACCATAACTGGCCTTACAACTTATGCTAACAATTAAAATTAAAACTTAATAATCGAACTAGACTTGAGATATTCATTGATAATACCTCCACAGATGTTCGACATTCCATGCTTGCAATACGACTGTGTCGTTTAGATACTCCAAGTGAAAAGTTCTTAGTGCGAGCTTCTTTGAGATCCAGAAAGGACCTTCTCACTTGAGCCCAAGTGGCCCGAAGTTTGTATTTTGTGCTCTAAGAATGATCTTCCTTAGGACTGGATCTCCTACCTCAAAATCCTGGTTCTTAACTTTCTAGTTGAAGTATCTCTTCACTCGTTGCTAGTATGAGGCTACTCTTAATTAAGACTTAGCCCGATGTTCCTCGATCAAGTCCAATTTCAAATGAAGCATATCCTCGTTTGATTCTTTATTAAAGACCTCTTGTTGAAAGAAGCTAATCCCGACTTCTACCAGGGTCATTGCCTCGCATCCATAAGTGAGCGAGAACAGAGTCTCTCTTGTCGAGCTTATGGCCATGGTTTTGTACGACTATAGTGATTCGAGTAGCTCATCTGCATATTTTCCTTTGAGGGGATCGAGCTTTTTCTTTATGATGTGCTTGGTCACCTTATTCACTGCTTCTACCCGACCATTAGCTTGAGGGCAGTAAATGGCAGAGAAGCTTTTTTTGATGCTGAGCTTCTCACAAAATGACTGAAAATCTTCATATTCGAACTATTTTTCATTGTTAGTGATGATGGCATGCAGGATTCCAAATTTGTAAACGATGTTTTTGTAGACGAAACCCTTCAGCTTGTTTGATATTATAGTTGCCAAAGGCTTGACTTTTGCCCACTTGGTGAAATAGTCAATGACAACCATCGCAAACTTTACACCTCACTTTCCTTGAGGTAACAGACCTATTAGATAGATCCCACAAATTGCAAATGGCCACAGGCTTGTCAGAGTTGTTAATTCTTGAGGTGGAACTCGTGGAATATCTACAAGCCTCTAACACCTGTCACATTTTCGCACAAAGTCGGCTGCATCATCTAAAACTATCGGCCAATAGTATCCCTGGTAAAGTACCCTATATGCCAAAGATCGCCCCTCGGCATGATTTTCACAGATCCCCTTATGGATTTCTCTCAGAATGTACTCCGCATTCTTATGATTTACACACCGCAAAAACAGGGTTTTGTAGCCTCGCTTATACAACCTTTCGTTGATAAGCGTATAATAAGTTGATTTTGCTCGGAGGATCTTAGCTTCATTTCTTCCCTCAGTGACTATTCCATCTCTTAAGTACGCCATTGTTGAGTACGTCAAGTTATGTCTTTGCCTGTTTCCAAGATCGCTTCTTTTGATGTGATGATGTTTGGACTTGGTAGAAATTTGACTGGGATAGAGTCCGTAGTCTCTTTGCTCATTGCTAAGGCCAGGCGAGCTAAAGCATCGGCCATTGAATTTTGTTCCTTGGGAATCTGATGCACTGTATAACCTTTAAAATGTCCAAGCTCGGATTTTACCTTTCGGAGATAGGATGCCATTCTTTCCTATTTGACTTAGTATTCCCTGAAGACTTGATGGACGACGAGTTGAGAATCACGATAGATTTTGATCGATTCTACCCCCATTTCTTTGGCCAGATGAACTTCTACGAGCATGGCCTCATATTCTACTTCATTGTTTGAGGCGGCAAAACCGAACCTAACTACAACCCAAATTGGATCCCCTTTAGGACTTTCAAGCAGGAGCTCGGCTTCTACCCCATTTTCATTTGAGGACCCATCTATATATAATGTCCATTGCCACAAGCTGTCAAGCTTGTTTTCCATTAGTCTGTTTTCTTCTGAAGTGTTTGCTTCAAGCGAGCTTGACTCCCTTTCGGGCTGGTATGAGAACTCTGAAATAAAATATGCCAATGTCTGGCCTTTGATTGTTGTTCTCAGGAAGTACTTAATGTCATACTGGCCCAACTTCATTGTCTATTAAATCAATCTCCTTGATGCTTCAACCTTTTGCATCACCTTTTTTAGTGGAAAATTGGTGAGCACATGCACAGTATGTGCTTGGAAGTAGGGCCGCAATTGCAACGCCATTGTCCAGATGTTCAATGTAGCTTTATGTGATCTTTGATTTGATGATCATGTCGTTGATATACACCTCCATGGTCTTACCAATCCGTTGAGCGAATATTTGATTTACTAAACGTTGGTAGGTCACCCCAACATTCTTCAGTCCAAACGGCATAACCCTGTAACAGTAAATACCCAAGTCAGTAATAAAGGAAGTGTACTCTTTATTGGGTTGATGCATCAGGATTTGGTTGTATCCTGAGGATGCATCCATGAAGCTCAATTGTATGTTCCCTACTGTCGCATCTACTAACTGGTCGATCCGGGGTAGCAAAAAGTTATCTTTGGGACAAGCTCTGTTAAGATCTGTGAAATTGACGCAAGTCCACCAATTGCCATTCGACTTTTTCACTGAGACTGGATTTACGAGCCAATCTGAATACTTCACTTCTCTTATGAAGTTGATGTTTCTTATGAAGTTGATGTTTAAGAGCTTATCAACTTCATCTTTGAGCACTCAAGATCGCTCAAAGTCCAAAAACCTTCACTTTTGCCTTATCGGATGAGCTTCAAGGTCGACATTCAGTCTATGGTACGTTACTTTGAGGCTGATCCATGTTTGCATGAACCTAGGTGAACACATCAAGGTTTTTCTTTAGGAATCACACTAAATTCTAAATTGTTTCTAACTCACTGCTCAAATTACTCCCGATTTTCAAAACGCGAGTTGTATCTTTCTCGTTGACAGGTACTTCTCATAACTCTTCTGTTGGCCCTACTGTAGGCTCCTCTTTATCATTACAAGAAATATATTATATTTTGACAAAATTAATTTTATCACATGTTATTTTGTCACTAGTAATATATGTATTATGACAAAATAAAGAAATATCACATTACATATGACAAAGAGAATATACAGTGACTAAAAAAAATATTGTCATAATATTTTATCACAACAAAGAAACCCATAAGAAATATAGTGAAGAAAAACATTTTTATCATAATATTTCATCACTAATTTTTGGAGTCCAATTTTGGCGCATAGGAAAATTGTTTATTGTGACAAACATATTTTATCATAAAACATTCTAGTCACTAGATTTAGTTATACATGCTATAACTATAAATTATTTTGTCACAAAAGAATTTATTTATTATTACAAAAAAAAATTGTCATAATATATGCTGAAATAAGGTATTAATGACAAAATGTTTGAGTCAAAATTTAAACACCCAGATAAATTATTTATTATGACAAACATATTTGTCATAAAAACTTTAGTCCATATATTTAGTAATGCATGCTATAATTACAAACTAATTTATCACAAAATAATTATTTATCATTACCAAAAAAAATAAATTATCATTTATAAATGTTAAAATTGAGATATTAACAACAAAATAATTGAGTCAAATCACTACAAGAAAATGTACATTCTGTAACCAAATTTTTGGCAATTGGTTAATACTAATTACAGATGCCCCACATTTAACAACTAAAATGCAATTGGTCGGCAAAAGGGGATAAAATTTTGGGGGCCATTATTTCCCTGTTTGGAGTCTAAAATTAATATTATGCGACTATTTGATTAGTTACACAACAATTTACATTAGTGACTACTTTGTTTAGTTGGCAATTTTTGGGCAAAACTTTTTCCAATGAAGTAGAACAATTGGCATCTAAATATGCTATTTCACATCTAAATTTTTTATTATAAAAAATAATTATTGACAACTACACCATAGTAGCTAAATTAGATGACAAATATCTGTTAATTAGTTGGTAACTATTTTGATTAGTTACAAAATAACAAAATAATCGAAATATTCAAGTTTTTTACACTAATTACATAGGTCCCAAGGTATATTTATCAATAAAGTATTTTACGCATATTAAAAATAGTTGTAAAAATGTATCTATAGCAGCTAAATTGAATTTAGTCGGCAAAATTAATTGAAATTTTCATAGTCCTACCTAATTTTCATTTTCGTATTCCCGTTAAAGGAAAATCATGGACAACCAAGATAATTATTTGACAACGAAAAAAGCTAGTTCTAAATTAACGTGTTTGGCAACTAAAATTTTAGCTGCTACAAAATACGAAATATACTAATAAATAAAAAATTAGTTAAAAAAATCATGAACTAAAGAAATGACCAAATATTTTAAGTTAATTACTAAAAACCCATTCCTATATAAACCCATCCTAATTCCCAACCCCTAGTTCCCAATTTCCCCTTTCATATTTTTAGCTTACACAAACAAAGAGTTTTCAAGAATGGGCCAAGATGATGAGGACCCAGAAAAGCGTGGGTCAAAATCATCAACGCCGTACAAATGGTTGAGCAACTTTCACCATGATCTGGTGGCGGGGGCGGTTATGGGCGGTGTAGTGCACACGATTGTGGCCCCGATCGAGGGAGCGAAACTATTGTTGCAGACCCAAGACAGCAACCTGACCATTGTTGGCAGTGGACGAAGAAAATTTAAGGGTATGCTTGATTGTATTGTTCGTATAGTCCGAGAAGAAGGCCTTTTTATCTCTTTGGAGAGGCAATGGTAGCAGTGTGCTTCGTTATTACCCTTCTGTTGCACTTAATTTCTCTTTTAAGGTATCTAATCAAGATTCTTTTTTTTTTGAAACTTCAGTTTATTTGTTATCTTGCTTTAGTTTTAATGCAATTTTTATTGGTTTGTACGGTTCTTTTCGTTTGGTGTTGTTTCTTGAATATTTTTTCGGAGGTTTAATACTTTGTCAGTTATTTTTTCTGTGTATAATTGATTTAAATTGGGTATTTAAAGTATTTCCGAGTAAAGAAAATGGGAATGCGATTGACCTGCAAGTCAGACCACCGGGACCTGGAACAGGACAGCCACACTTGTCTTTGCAGTGAACCATACCTCCTCCCTTTAATACGTCTGCCATAATCTTTTTCCTTCTCTTTGATTCAGGTTTAAGTTATTGTGCCTTCTCTGTTAGCTAGCATTTTTGTTTCTATCAACTCATGTTCCATGTTCTTCTGTTAAACACACAGGTGGCACAAACAGCTGATTGATTCATGGTTTTCATGGCCTCGCCATTTCATGCATTAGAGACAATGCCAACAAGTGTACATGTTCAATTTTTTACGAAATTTAAGCCCAATTGCTTCTCTAAAGCTTAGTTATATACAATTAAAAGAAAACACTTGAAAACAGAAACCTCTTTTGTGGCCCTGCTATAACAATTACTTGGTGTTACCAAAGGAGATTAATTTCCCAGCAGGATTAACAATTGAAGGATTTAGAATCTGATGCACAATTTCCTCAAATTCATTAGTTTCTATAATCTGAGTGCATAAACATCTAGTAGAATGGTAAACTTAATTTGTAGAATCTCTTGAGCATATGAAACTCTGTTATCATCCGGAACTCTAGTACATACTTAATACTTTGTCGGTATAAAATGAACCGAATGTAATTTTGGCTAAACAATTTCGATGCAGATACCTTAATACTTTGTCAGTTATTCAAGGTACCACTTTTGCATAAATATAGATGGAGTGATATTACTGTGGAGGCTGAAAGTAGTAAAATCTCTAATGAAATCGAGTCTCTTACAGATCCCGTGTAGAAGGTGAGGTATTTTATATACCTGGGTTGCACATATATTTACACAATTTCGTACTCAGTATCCATGTGTGATGTGTGGGTATTTGAGTTTGCAGATTCCAATAGACTGGAGAGTGATCTTGAAGAGTTGAATTGCTCTTTGGATTTAGGTGCATCACAGGTTGGTTCTCCATTGACAACAATTTTTTTCTTTTACTATTTGCTTCAAACTAGTTCTTCAGTGGTTAGAAAAATAATATTTGCTCAAGCTTGTTGTTTAACTGAAGCAATTGATGATGATGGATTTTGTGTACTATTTAGTTGGGTCAAGGGAAGGCTATAGAGGTTCCACAGGCTGATTGCTCTAAAGATGGAGAAGATCGATCAGATATGATAAAAATTCATGAAGACCAGAAATTTGAGGTGTTAATCCTGAACACTTTTGTTTAGTGCTTCCATGATTGGTTTGTGAATTATTTTTTATGACACTTTGTGTACCTTCCAGCTTGTAGAACTTGAAAGTGATATTGAAAAGAATAATGTAAAAACTTTGAACTCCTTGCAAGATCTCAATTCTATGTCCAAATTGTAGTGACCTACTTGAATGTTGTACTGACTACCGAGTTTGTGGATCTGCAGTAGCCCCAAGTTCTGGATTTTGTGACTCGTAAGAAAGGCTGATGATCTCTGTGTCAAAAAAGAAGTTCCGATTTTCTTGGTCATAGTTATTGATATCATAACTAACATAGTACTGTGACTTAAATTAACTTATTGAATCCTGCCTTCATTATATGTTGTTTTTCTCTCATTTGTGTAGGAGGAGATCAAGATGTTTGTCAATCCTTACTCAGAACCAGATGAAGAAAAGGAAGAGATGGCCAAAGAAGAGGAAAATCCTGAGGATGAAGATAAAGTTCGTTTCCGGACTCTTTTAAATATCAGCTGCCTTTATAAATTATCATTATTGAGATGACATAATATTTGTCATGCCTATATTATTTCGACGATAAAAAATTTGTCATGTAAAAATATTTGTATCAAAATTATTTGTCATACTATTATTTTTTTTACGTCATTATACAATTTTTGACAAACAATATTGTCATATAAATAAACATGGAACAAAATAAATGTTGTCACAGTAAAGTCGATGACAAATAAATTTTTGTCACTATTAAAATTATGAGCAAATAATTTAGTCACTATTCATAATTTTGGCAAAATTAATTTTGGCATAATATATTATTTTCTCACTATAAAACTTATCATTTGGTCTTTAAATGTAAATCAATTGTGACAAAATATTACTTGTAGTGATAAAAATTGTTTTCTATTGTTACAAATAATTTATTATAATAAATTAGTTTAAAGTGACAAATTATTATTGTCATAATTAATAATTAGGCTATGGTGACCAATGCTCTTTCGTCATCATACACTTAAGAGTACGAGTTTAATGTGACTAATCTGGTGACCAATACAATTTCTCACATTAGTGAAATAGTCACAATTTTGATATTTATCATGACAAATTATTTTGTTGCAAGAAGCCTAAATTCTTGTAGTTATATATGAATGCGAGGATCAATAGTATCTTCTAATGGTTGGGGCTTTGGCTTGGACTCAGTAATTATCATGGTCTTTGGGAGTGCCCATTTTTGTGTTGCATTTATTGCCCGGTTGTAACACTCCCTAAAATCTTTTCGGCAACTCTTGACTATTCTGATTCCTTTCAGAGTTGGGAATTTCATTGCCGGACACCGCACTGAGGTGACTACATTTAGGTCGTTCAATAGTGGCCTTCCTAAGATGACATAAGTGCTTGGGTAATTGACCAACAAGAACTCTACTATCGTTGTTATTATCTAAGGCTTCTCCCCAAGAGTCACAGGCAGTTCTATTTTTCATTTGGGGACTAAGCTATCTCCGATGAATCCGTACAATAGTGATGAGCATGGTTTCAAATCCTGCTCGATAAATCTCATTACCCAGAAAGCTCACAAAAAGATGATGTTTGTTGCACNTGTCATACTATTAATTTTTTTACGTCATTATACAATTTTTGACAAACAATATTGTCATATAAATAAACATGCAACAAAATAAATGTTGTCACAATAAAATCGATGACAAACAAATTTCTGTCACTATTAAAATTATGAGCAAATAATTTAGTCACTATTTACAATTTTTGTAAAATTAATTTTGGCATAATATATTATTTTCTCACTATAAAACTTATCATTTGGTCTTTAAATGTAAATCAATTGTGACAAAATATTACTTGTAGTGATAAAAATTGTTTTCTAATGTTACAAATAATTTATTATAATAAATTAGTTTAAAGTGACAAATTATTATTGTCACAATTAATAATTAGGCTATGGTGACCAATGTTCTTTCGTCATCATACACTTAAGAGTACTGAGTTTAATGTGACTAATCTGGTGACCAATACAATTTCTCACATTAGCAAAATAGTCATAATTTTGATATTTATCATGACAAATTATTTTGTTGCAAGAAGCCTAAACTCTTGTAGTGACAAGATTTTCAATTTGTTTTAACCATCTAGGTTACTTATGGATAGGTCTTTTAATGATACATTTTCATCAATATAACCTAAATCCTACGACCCTAAACCTTAACCTTGTATACTAATTAAAAAAAAAAAAATTTCAATTTGATAAATTTATTGACCTATGTTACTCACCTTGGTGTGGTTCCCCAAAACTGTTATTTGCAAGGTCAACAATTTGTATTAAATAAAATTGTTATTTGCAAAGTCACGAATTAGATTCTCATTGATATAGCAAAGAGACTTGGACAGTAGCAACAATCCCCGATAAATTACCTCCAACCTCTACTGATTAAATAAAATATTAAAATATTAAACTATGCATCACTATGTTAGAAACTATTCTAAATCTTGATTTTAAAATTTCAATATTTGAATATCGTGCAGTTTCTTGTTAAGAATTAAAATGCAGAGAAATGGGGGCTTTTGCTTCGTAAACTCCATATTTACCTATATAAACGAAAGCCATTTTGCTTATTTACTCAAACATTGATAATCATGTGTTTCTTCATTGATTTGAGGTTTTTCTTTTCACCCTTGCTAAATATTTTCATTTTCTTTCTATTAATGAAACCCCAAACTGAAAACATTATTCGATATTCATTTTTATTTATCAATGTTATTCATTCTTGCTCTTCATTTACTATTAGCTTTCCTCTTCTTCACACTCATCACACTCCCTCTTATTACAAGTCGTCCCATCTTCATGCGTCCTGAAAATTTTTCTCTTCTCCTAGCTCTGTCAATCCTAACATCATTCGTTTTACTACCCTCGCATTTCTTAATAGCCTATTTGTTTCTCATGATCATATCTCCATGGTATGCACTACTATGGAGTCTAATTGAACATTTTTTCAACTGCTTTCTTACACTCTACCATCAGTTCCTACTATCTTCATTACTTGGGTAAACTAAAACCAAGAAAATCCAGAACTAGCGCTTTCTACAGATGAAAAGGTTGAATGATTTGAAGTAGGAGGTAACCTAATTGAGCATGAATTGGAGCAAATTGAGATTTATAGATAGGTAGTTAATGTCTCTATAGAGACAGGTGATGGTTAATTTGTCATGTTGCTGTATTGAAAATCTAATTTGTGACTTTATAATTAGTACATGCAGTACAAAAGTTGGAATTGACAGTTATTTAGAGTTATTGTTCTTGTTGTAGTAATTCAGTAAGTTCCATACTCTGTTTCCCAAACCAGAAAGCAAGTAAAAGAACAAACACACACAATCTGTTTCAGCTTGCTCTCTCTCTATGGTGAATCGTGATGCCCGTTTACTCTTTCTGGATTTTTTTTAGTCATAGTGTTGTTGCCTTTTCAATCAGGCTGCTCCGACTCGTTTCATTGGGCCGTGATTCCAAACTTGCATAAGAAGATTGAGCCCATGGGCCAGGCTTGCACTTGTGGGCCTAAATGACTCTTGCTCGATATATCTACCTGAAATCTCACGGACCAAAATGTATTTAACTCTGTTGACGTCATGCACTCATGCATAAGGGGATTTCGGCAAAGAATTATTTAAGCACATTTTGTTTTGTATAGGGAATATATTGTAGAACTATTTTCCGGAAACATATGGTATTTGTTTTTGGAAAACAGAAGATTGCGGCATTTTATTTTCTAAAACCTGTTTAAGTGTCATAACTTGATTTAAGATTGCAACATTTTTTTTTTCTTCTTCTTGCTGTCTTGATCGTGGTTGGTGAGGATGAGCTTAGGACATCATTTGATCAATATATCTGTCTTCCTCCATTAAAAACAATGTCCTGAGCCCACCAGCTCTGACTAAATTGCAGATATTAGCGAGGGAGATACTCATACACGGACCATGATTTCTTTTTAGAGTCTCATATCTGATTAAAAAAACGGAGATCGGGAATCCATGGCTATTGAAGCAACCATTTAGCTTGTGGTAACAAACCTACATGATGCATGGACATATTCTGATAGAATTTGAGGTAAGCCTGACTCTTCATCCAATAAGACCTTGTTGAATGAGAGGATTACCCCTTTTTATAACTCAGTAGCCTTAAGCATGTCTAGTCAGTATGGGACTCCAGCATTCCCCTTTATGGTCAAGCCCATATGTTAGATTATGCCTGTTAATGAAGGTAGTTGCTGGCTCTAACTCCCTACCTGTTGTTAAGCACTCAACTCAACTGAACTTGAGCTCTGATACCATGATAGAATTTAAGGTGGGCTTGATTTTTCATCCAATAAAGTCTTGTTGAATGGGAGGATTACCCCCTCTAATAATCTAGTAGGCTTGAGCGTGCCTAGTCGGTATGAGACTCCAATATATTCTACTTTGCCAACTGGTTTTATAGCCTATACAACATTGAGACAGTTCACGGTTAGGCTACAACATTCTCGGAAAATCTTAGAAGGTTCAGAGGATGAAAAAGGAAGGACTGTCACAGTTGATGATGGGAAGATCAAGCTTCTGCAAGCTGTTTATCTGGCAGAGTACACCATAAAAACCTTATTCCTAACTAAAGAATTGCAGAAACAAAAGATTTTCATCAAGTTTTTCCCGCTTTTCTTGAGGTCATCAAATATGTAGTTTCGTTTCAGCAAGTAGATGAAAAAATGTGCGGGTCAGCTTGTCGACTCCATGCCCGTTGAGTTGGATGGATGATTCAGACATCTACTTATTGAGAAAATACATAACTGTCATCGGTTTCGTGCATCACCACCATTGCTTAAGACTCTGGCGGACATACTCAGAAAACCGTATTCAAAATCCAATATTCATCAAAACAGAACCTCATCCATCAATCTCATATTACGCAATGAAACTAAATGATATGGTTAAAGTTTCTCCAATACAATATTCATTGCCGCGGCCCATTTCACCAGTGCGAAATCTGGCGAGTAGGTTGAATACTC